CACCCCCCCCCTGCGGCCCTGGGTCCCGAGGCGATGCCGGTCGAGATGGCCACCGGCAGCCGCGTGGACGCAACACCCTGGAGGCGAGGCCGGAAGGGACAAGCCTCCGGCCGCTCCAGCGCCTGACGAGCTCTCCTAACAAGTAACGCCGATTCATTACTGGCGAGAAGGCTGCAGGATGCAGTGTACGTCCTGGACCAGGTGGCCGTAAAACTACTTCCAAGTGGGCCATTGACAGGCTGCAGGGTCGTCATCCGCACAAAATCACAGGGCTGGGATGCTCAGGGTCCCCTAAAATTCCGCGCACGAGAGACTCGCCTGCGGAGCTCATTAACAATAGCCTGCCCAGCCCCGCAGAGCGTGCAGTCACTGGGAAGCGGCGGCGCCGGCCCAGGTGTTGCTAATGACCGCAGGACTTCGAAAACCCTGAGAGCCTGGACGACCTCCTGGATCCTTCCAGGAATGTGCGCTTTAGGAGAAACAATTCACATTAAAATACGCTGCTTTGAACTCAGTGCGACCGGGAAGGCATCTTCCTGTCCCTTTCCCACCCCTCGGAAGGCCACCAGAACCCCAGGCTCACAAAGGTCACGTGAGCCGGGCAGCCTACTCACCACCCCCCTACGCGCCCGGCTTCCGAAGCGCTAGGGGCGCGCGCTGCTCCGCCCCGCGACTACAAGTCCCATCTCTCCCCGCGCTCGCGCGCATTACGCCGGAGCAAGATGGCCGACGCGGCGGCCGCAACCGGGGCCGGCGGCTCCGGGACGGTAAGGGCAGCATGCGAGGGGCTGAAGGTGGGAGAGTTCAGGCATTCCGTGACTTCCCCCTGGCCTGAGCAACCAGCTCATACCCAGGAGCCCAGCACCATCAGGGGCTCCGAGTGGAGGGTCTTTCAAGACGTCGGCGCCCCCCCTCCTTGGGACTTGGCGGCGGCCTCTCGAGTTGGGGGACCTATGTCCTGATTGGCTCGTTCCCTTCTGGGGGGGTTGGGAACCCGGAACATCTCCTGATTGGTCCTGAGAAGCCCTTTTTACCTTCTTATTGGCCAGCTACGGGTGGGCGGGATTCCTTTTCAAAATATTTAGCCTCTCTGCTTTTCCACGCCGTGTCCTTTGCCCTGCTCCCCACGGCGTCGTGTGTTTTTGATAAATACCTAATTTTCCGGATTTATCAAGTGATGTGGACATGAGAACAGGACAGGGGTTCCTCATCTGCTGTCGCCCGGAGTTAGATTCATTATTTAATTCGATGACCTGCTAAAGTAGAAAACGAAAGCAATTTTATCCTGTTGGAACCGTACGTTTTGGGCAGAAAGGCCATGCATCTAGATCGCTCGGGGTGCCAGTTCATACTCAGTGGTCCAGTATCTGTTAAGTCTAAACTGTAAGCACTGATTGAGTAGTAGTTAGCCAAGGAGCTTTTGCTTGTTGGTGTGTGAACTATGTGATTCCACGCTGTGGATGGGACTTTTCTCTCTCTGGGCCGCTGATTCACAGAGATCAGGAAGTAAGCAGTCCACCAACCCTGCTGATAACTACCATCTGGCCCGGCGGAGAACCTTGCAAGTGGTCGTGAGCTCCTTGCTGACTGAGGCAGGATTTGAGAGTGCTGAGAAAGCATCCGTGGAAACATTGACAGAAATGCTCCAGAGTTGTGAGTATTGGAGAAACTAGGTCTTCGAGTTAACCCTCACATCAGTTCTGTGCGCGCATTGTGAAAACATAGGAGCGGAATTTAGAAAGAGGAGTGATAAGATTTACAGGCTTTCGAATCAGCTCTGAGTGTAAATCATCATTCTGCTTCTTAGAGCTTGGGCAAGTCATACAGCCTCTTGAACTTAAGTGTCCTTGTTTGTGAGGTGAAGATAATTTGTGCCTCATGGAGTTGTGAGTGTGAGTGAGGTGTGAGTGAGATGTATCAGCGTTTTTTTGTTTTGTTTTGTTTTTAACTTATTATTATTATTATTTAGGTTTTTGCCATTGGGCACAAGTACTCACTAGAGAGAGACAGAAACAGAGGGACACATGGCTAAAGGGAAAAAGCACTCCCTAATGAGGCATGCTCGTGCTACAGTTTCTCCTCCTCCATTTCCCTATCCTGTCAGGATTTGGGGCACACATACATGTATGCTCAGTGCTGGGGCCAGGATTCAAACTGCAATTGGCTGTGTGGGATCTGGTTACTTTAACTGCTAGGCTACGGGCCCAACTCAGTAAAACAGGTTTTTATTTATTAAAAAGCTGTTTTTAATTCTTTTAAAAAGAATTATTTAATTTTTGTTTATTTATTTTTATTTTGTAATTTGACCAGAGAGAGAGAAAGGGGGAAAGTGAGAATGCAAGCCGCCTGGTCCAGGACGCGAACCACAGTCAGTTAAGTGGGAGTCTAGCATCTTAACCACCATGCTATCTGCCAGTCTCAGTAAAACAGATTTCTAAAACATAATGTACAATTACACATTTCATCATTAGTCAAAGCCATGAGGTCGTCAAAAATTATATAGCCTTTAGGGCCAGCAGGTGGCTTGGTGGTTAAGGCTCTGGACCTCTACATGACTGACCACGATTCGAGTTTTGGATCTGGCAACTTGCTTTTACTCTCTCTCTGTGTCTCTTTCTGGTCAAATTGAAGTATAATGATAATAAAATAAAAATTTTAAAAGTTTTTGGAGCCAGCTGGTGGCAAGGTGGTTAAGGCACTGGATTCCCACATGGCCAACCATGGTTTGAGTCTCGAATCTGGTGGCTTGCTTTTTCTCACCACCCCCCCTCTCTCTGTGTATCTTCCTGTCTCTCACTTCTCTCTAGTGAGTGCTCATGCCCTATAGCAAATTTTAAAAATAATAATAAATAAAAAATAAATAATTCCTTTTAAAAAAAGTTATTAAAATTGTTTTTAAAATATTATATGGCCTCTGAAAAACTATGAGAGAATGAGAGTGAAAAAAATCAGTATATTAATTATATTACAAAAATAATTTGATCTGTGGACTTTGGAACAGATTTCAGGGATTCCAGTAGGTTTCTGGAACGCACTTTGAGAGCTTGTATCTTAATGGGATGGACTAATAATTCCCAACAGATAAGATTTCAGTTCTTAATTAGATCTTGGAATTAAAAGGCCACATGTGGGACCAGCTGGTGGCATGGCAGTTGAGATAGCTGGATCCCACGTGGCTGACCATGCGGTTTGAGTCCCAGACCCAGCAGTTTGAGAAACACACTGGGTATTGCACATGGTGGGTGCCTAAAATGTCAAGAGGAGGATGGAAGAGAAGGGATTGTAGTGCGGCCATCCCCCCAAAGGGTGCTTTCTCGCTTTCTCTTTCTCTCTCTGTCTCTCTCTCTCCAGTGAATGCGTGCATTCTATAGCAAAGTTAAATAAATAAATAGCCACATCTGGAGGCCGCTGTTTATGACTTGCTCAGGGCAGCGCGGGGATTTGGTGATAGGTGTTTGGTTAGACCCCTTCCCTGTTAAGCACCTCTTGCTTTTATTTTCTAAACCATTGGGCCCCTGGAATAGATATTTCCTTATCTTTTTGGGTCCCTTTGTACAATGAACAAAAACTGCAGACCCATCTCCAGAAAAAAGTTTTTGTATGAATTTGCTTTTTCTAGATACCTCATCTAAGTGGTCTCCTCAATATTTGTCTTTTGGGGTCTGGCTTACTAAACTTAGCATAGTGTTTTTAGAGTTCCTCTGTATTGTAGCGTGTGTCAGAATTTAAAGCCTTTTGAAGGCCGAGTGATAGTCCATTGTTTGTAATACCCCAGCTTGCTTATCCGTTTATCTGTCAGTGGATAATCTACTTGTTTCCATCTTCGGCTGTTGTGGATAAAGCTGCTGTGGACATTGGAGTATGCGTGTGAGTCTTGCTTTTGATTCATCTGGATTCATACTTCTATGCCTAGAAGTAGAATTGCTGACTTGTATGGTAATTCTGTTTAACTGTTTGAGGAACCAGGAGAAAGCCTTTACGCCTTTGCCCCTCTTAGACATTTCAGAAATTGGGAGGAGTGCCAAGTCGTACTGTGAGCACACAGCCAGGACGCAGCCCACACTGTCGGATATTGTTGTCACGCTCGTCGAGATGGGTAAGTACACCGCCTCACTAATTCTTTAATTTAAAAATATTTCTCTTTCTTTCTTTCTTTTTTTAGATTTTTGCCATAGGGCGAGTACCCTTGCCACAGATACAGAAAGAGAGGGAAAGTGAGAAATCATCCCCTGCCTGGCATGGCCATGTTGCAGTCCTTTCTCTTTTACTCTCCTCTCAGGGTTTTGGGCATGCATGCACATGCACCTGGTGTGATTTTTAAGCCACCAGGCCTGGGACTGGGACCATGTAGTTGGCCATGTGGGAGCCAGCACCTTAACCACCACACCACCTGCTTGCTCCACCCCACTAATTCTTTGATGAAGCTAAGTTGGGGTTACAAGAGAGGAAAGAGTCCCTAGGAGTCAGCCATGTCTCCTGAGTGTTCTTGGATCCCCTTGTGGGGGTCTCTTGATTTGCTTTTGTGTGTGTGTGGTTTTATAACTTTATTTTAAAATCAGCAGTTAGTTCTCATCCACATTGATTGTAGATTTTTTGAAAGTGGTAACAGGAAAATAGGTTACCAGAGTGTAGAACTTCTTGGTGAATCTTCATCCTCATCATGTTTTCTGAGCAACCACCCTGGATATGGTGTGGGGTGTTCCTTATTCCTTTGTCCCAGACAGCTTTGTTGAACCTGGGATTAGCCTGCACATCTGGAGTTCCATCTCCTTCATGGCAATTTCTGGATCTCTCTTAAGTCATTGAGTGCCCAAGGGACACATTTCTTTCTTTTTTAAATTATTAAACATTTTTGAAAATTATTCTAATGTTTAACTCTTATTTATTTAGTTATTTTAATTTGGCCAGAGAGGGACAGAGAGAGAGAGAAAGTTAGAAAGCAAGCCACCAGGTCTGGGACTCAAATCACAGTCGACTCTGTGGGAATCCAGCGCCCTTAACCACCACACCACCTGCCAGCACCCCCGAGGGAAACATTTCTTGAAGTCACGTCTTGAAGTCACATGGATGTGCTTGTGAATGTCAATGGTGTATTCTCAGGTCTCCACTTTGGAGATGGCAGGATGGCCCTTCTCACCACCCTTCTTCATGGGAGCCGTTCTGCCCAGCCTAAGTTAGAGAGAAAGACCCACCTGATTTGCTTTTAGCTTGAGAGACTTACCTGAGCTTATTTAAGAGAGTTACTAACGCTCTGTTGGGGATTCTCCTGGGTTTCTTATGTGTGTTAACAAAGTACTGGGTCATTGGAAAAGTCATGATGTATTTTTGTATGTTTCTCTGTGCAAAAATGCATCAGGAGTTTTTTAAAGCCTCAGTATCTAAGTCTGGAGGTGAAGCTGCTTCTCCCCAGCATTACTCCCATTTCTATATGCCAGTGACCTTAGCAGTGGTTTTTGTTTTTGTACCTCTTAGGTTTCAATGTGGACACTCTCCCTGCTTATGCAAAACGGTCCCAGAGGATGGTCATCACTGCCCGTAAGTTGCTGAACTGAGGTTCTCAGTAAGTGTTCAGTTACTGAATAGGGCAGAGATTAGATTGTACCTACTTCCTTGTTGCAGGTTCCTGCTAATCATTGGGGCTACCTGTGGTATAGTCTCTCTGGCCTTAGCTTCAGAATGCGAGGTTCAGTCATCAGGAAACTGAACTGTCAGTGAGATGCTGCTGTGATTCTTGTGCTTTGGCCTCAAAGAGTAAATAATGCTTCTATAAAAACATAAACATTCTTCTTATTGTTTTTTTTTTTTAGGGAGGTTTTTTTGTTTTTGTTTTTGTTTTTACTGTAGGGCATGTGTGCTCACCAGAGAGAGACAGAAAGTGAGGAATCACCCCCTGAGGGGATGGTCATGCCACAATCCCTTCTCTTCCTTTCTCTTCTTGGGATCTTGGACACACATGCACATGTACCTGGCATGAGTTTGAAACCATTGGGTCCGGGACTCGAACTGCAGTCGACTACGTGGGAGTCCAGCGACATAACCACTATGCCATCTGCTGATCCCTCTTGCTCTTTCTTAGGTCCTGGGTTGGTAATATACTATGGCTTGGGACTAGATATAGCCCACTGCCTGTTTTGTTTTTGTTTTTTAATTTTCTTTTTAAGAATTATTTTATTTAACTTTATTTTTATTTTTGTTTTGAGTAGAGAGGGACAGAGTAAGGGGTAGGGGAGTAAGAAAGCAAGCCTCCATGTCTGGGACTCGAACTGCCATGTGGGAATTCAGTGCCCTTAACCACCACACCACCTGCTGGCCCCTTACTGCCTGTTTTTATAAATAAAGTTTTATTGGACCATAGCCATATTTACCTTTTTTTTTTTAAATCTTCTATAGGGCACATGTACTTGGTGGAGAGAGAGAGAGAAAGAGAGAGAAGGAGAAAGAAAAAGAGAAAGAAAGAAAAGAAAGAATTACCCAGAGAGAGACGGAAAGTGAGAAATTACTCCCCTCCGGGCCTGGCCACACCACGATCCCTTCTTCTCCCTGAATTTTGGGCATGCACGCACATGTCTGGTGTGAATCTCAAGCCACTGGGTCTGGGACTTAAACTACATGGTCAGCCATGTGGGATCTAGCCATCTTAACCTCGATGCCACCTGCTGGCCCCATAGTGCCTTCTCTGTGCCTACCTTCAGGCTCTGATGTCAGAGTTAAATTGTAACACAGATTGTATCACCTGCAAAACGTAAAATATTTATGATTTGACCCTTCACCCAAAAAGTTTGTTGACCTCTGCCTGAGAGAAGACTAAGTGCCATAAATTGAGTGGGGATAACTTATTGAAGCTTGTAGGACCTGGGGACAATTCATTAGATTGTTTGTTTTTTTTTAACAGATTTTATTATTTTTTTAAAGAATTATTTTTATTTATTCATTCATTATTTTATTTTAATTTGACCAGACACACAGAGAGAGAGAGAGAGAGAGAAAGGAGGAAAGACAGCCACCAGGTCCAGGACTTAAACTGTGGTTAGCCATGTGGGAGTGTCCAGTGCCTTAACCACCATGCCATCTGCTGCTCCCCTATTATTATATTTTAATTTGACAAGAGAAAGATGGAGAAAACATGTGAGAAAGCAAGCTGCCAGGTCCAGGTCTTGAACCGTGGCTGGTCACGTGGGAGTCCAGTACCTCAACCCCCACACCACCTGCTGGCCCCAATTCACTAGGCTTTTAAAAATCACGTTTTCTGTGTTGACATCTTTTTAAGTGGAGAGGAGCAGCTGTTATTTTCAGTTGTCTCTTGCTGTCCTTAAGCCCACACTTACTTTCCCCAGCGCGGATTATATCTTCCTTATCCGTGGTCTCTGAAAAAAGAATCCTGTCTTCTGTGGTTCCTTGGCATGCTCTTTAACACGGTCACAGCCACCCACCCACCTACCTTAGTGGCTTGTGGGCTGATTGTCGTAGATGGGAATGTCAGTTGGGGTCATCTAGCAGGACCAGGCACTGTAGGGGTGACCCTCTCAAGTCTTTAACTATTGAAGGCCTTTTATTGGTAAAAATACAAAGTACTGGGGCCAGCAGGTGGCATGGTGGTTAAGGCACTAGACTCCCACATGGTCGGCTGCTGTTTGAGTCCCAGACCTGCGGCTTGAAACTCAGATCAGGTGTGTATGTGTGTACATGTGCAAATTCCCAAGAGGAGAATGGAGAAGAGGGGACTGGAGTGTGAGCATCCCCACTGGGAGGTGATTTCCCACTTTCTGTCACTGTTTCTGGTGAGCACACATGCTCTCTAGCAAAAAAAAAATCTCTCTTAAAAAAAAAAAAAAATCATGGCTTGAAAGTGGCACTGTACAGACCAGCAGGTGACTCCCATGTAGTTGACCACAGTTCAAGTCCCAGAGCCAGTGGCTTAAAGCTCAGGCCGGGTCCTGAGAGGAGAATGGAGGAGAAGGGGTTGTAGCATGGCCATCTCCCCCGGTGGTGATTTCCTGTTGTTTTCTGTCTGTCTGTCTGTCAAGAATGTGTACCCTATAGCAAAAATCTCTCTCAAAAAAAAAAAAAAAAAAAGCAAGAAAGTAAAGAAAATGGCGCTGGGGAATGCACGTGCCCTACGACAAAAACCTAAAAAGGAAAAATATATGTAACTACCTGTTGTTTAGAAAATTTAGGTCATCTGGCATTTACTTTGCAAAAAAAAAAAGGTTTGGGCAGAGATCATGATCTGTAAGCAAACCAGGGCCGTGGGTATGGGAGTAACCCGTGGCGTGTCTGTTGCAGCTCCTGTGACCAATCAGCCAGTGACACCGAAGGCCCTCACCGCAGGGCAGAACCGACCCCACCCGCCACACATCCCCAGCCATTTTCCTGAGTTCCCTGATCCCCACACCTACATCAAAACTCCGGTGAGTGACAAAGCCACGCTGGGCTGGGACTATGTAAACTATGTAGTTGGTGCCTACTGACTGTCACGCTGGAGTCCAGAGGTCGGTTGGTAAGAGGTGGTTAAGAACTCAGTGTCTTACATTATCGAGAAACAATTTGGCAGATGAGAATTAATGTCATCAAGTGTGTCAACAAAAGTATAGTTAAAGAAATTGAAGCTGGGCCAGCCAGTGGCTGGTGGATAAGGCAGCTGGATCCCACATGGCCTACTGAATGGTTCAAGTCCTGTACCTGGCGGCTTGAAAAATGCTCTGGGTATGTGTGCATGCTTGCCCAAAATCACAAGAGGAGAATGGAGAAGGAATTATGGTGTAGTGTGGCCTTCGCCCCAGGGGGTGCTTTTTCATGTTCTCTCTCTCTGTCTCTGATGAGTGCAGGTGCCCTATAGCATATTTATTTATTTAATTCCATTTGTTGTTATTATTATTTTTTAATTTGACCAGATTGAGAGAGAGAGGGAAAGCGAGAAAGCAAGCTGCCAGGTCCAGGACTTGAAACACCGTAGGCCATGTGGGAATCTAGCACCTTTATCCACCACGCCACCTGCCGGCCCAGCATGTTTAAAATTATGTATATCAAGCCCGTATCCAGTATATACATGATTATTTATATGAACATTATGAAAATTATAATGTAATATTGTACTAGAGCAACGTTTATTAAAAAGATAATCTCAACCTTAACCAGAGGTTTGGGATATTTGTAACCTTTTCTTTTCTTTTCTTTTCTTTTCTTTTCTTTTCTTTTCTTTTTTAAAGAATTATTTATTTAATTTTATTTATTCATTCACTTATTTTGACCAGAGAGAGAGACACACAGAGACACAGAGAGGGAGAAAGTGAGAAAGCAAGCCACCTGGTCAGGGACTTGAACTACGGTTGGCCATGTGGGAGTGTTCAGTGCCTTAATCATCACATCACCTGCTGGTCCCCTTTTTTTGGGGAGGGGAAGAGGTTTTTTGCTATAGGGCACATGCACTCACCAGAAAGACAGAGACAGAGAGACAGAAAGCGAGAAATCACCCCCCAGAGGGGATGGCCATGCCGCAATCCCTTCTCCTCCGTTCTCCTCTCAGGATCCTGGGCACTCACGCACACGCGCCCAGTGTGAGTTTAAGCCACCGGGTCCGGGACTCAAACTGCAGTCGACTCCGGGTCGGGTCCGGGACTCAAACTGCAGTCGACTACATGGGAGTCCAGTTACATAGCCATTACACTAACTGCTTGTCTCCTCCTTTTTCTTTTCTTTTTTTAAGAATTATTTATTTAGCCTTTTCTTAAAATTATTTGTTCATTTATTTTAATTTGACCAGAGAGAAAGAGAGAGAGAAAGTGGGAAAGCAAGCTACCAGGTCCAGGACTCAAACCACAGTTGGCCATGTGGGAGTGTCCAGTGCCTCAATCACCATGCCACCTGCTGGCCCCTTATTTGTAACCTTTTCAGTGGAAGCCATGTGATTGCCTCTGCTCTCATAGTGTTTTTTGTTTTGTCAGAACGTGTACACTTGCCAGAGAAAGAAAACATTCCTCAATGAGGCATGGTCATGCCACAGTGCTCTCTTCCGTCCAACCAGTCCTCCCTTCTGTCAGGATTCTGGGCATGCATGCTCATGCACCTGACATGTTTTTCAAGCTGTCAGGGTTCAGCCATGTGGGAACCAGTTTTTTTGTTTGTTTGTTTGTTTTTTAAGAGAGATTTTTCCTGTAACTGAGAACTTCATTCTCAGGAGATCCCATTGAAATCAGGGTGTCATGCGGTGTACCATATGAAGGGAGATGTATTGTGCCCTGTAGATAGAAGCTCTTAACGAGGCATTAATGAAGCCCTTCTTCTTCTAGGAAAGAATGTACCTAGGTTGGGAGAGTTACTTGTAGCCACTGAAGTTTCTTAGGCCAAGAAAAAAAAATTAAGTTTCCTTTTTCTTTCTTTTCTTTTTCTTTTTCTTTTTTGCCATAGAGCATGTGTGCTCACCAGAGAGTGAAAGTGAGAAAGCCCTCCCTAGAGGAGATGGCCATGCTACAATCTCTTCTCCTCTATTCTGCTCTTGGGATTTTGAGCACACGTGCACATGTACCTGGCATGAGTTTCAAGCCACTGGATCCCGGACTGTGGTCTGCCATGTGGGAGTTCGGCACCTTAACCACTACGCTACCTGCCGGCCCTGGGATTCAGTTTCCTTAACCATTGACCTACTGGGGCAGCCCTACTTTTTTGGTTTTTGAATTCATGGTTTAATACTTGGTGGAGGGGACCAGCAGGTGGCATGGTGGTTAAGGCACTGGACACTCCCACATGGCCAACCGTGGTTCGATACTCCCAAATAGCCAACCATGGTTCAATTCCTGGACCTGGTAAGCTGCTTCCCCCTCCCATGTCTCTCTCTGGTCAAATTAAAATGAATGAATAAGTAAAATTAAATAAATTATTCTTTTTTTTAAAAAAAAACTTGGTGGAATAGGGGCCAGCAGGTGGCATGGTAGTTAAGGCATTGGAATTCCCACATGGTCAACCGTTGTTCGAGTCCTGGACCTGGTGGCTTGCTTTTTCACTCTCCCTTTCTCTCTCTCTCTCTATCAAAACTCATGTGGTAAGTAAGTAAGTAAGTAAGTAAGTAAATAAATAAATAAAATAATTTTAAAACTACTTGGTGGAATAACAAGTTGGAGGTCTGACGTAAGCTCAGTTCATGTTGATACTTTAACGGTTCTTACCATTGAAAAAGGAGTGTCACAAAGACGCGTAGCATCATTGGCCGCCCTTCATATACTATCAGCTATTTTTTATTCCCTTTTACCAGTTACTGAAAGAATTTATTTTGAGTTCACTTCTCTCATGAGAGAGACAGAGACAGCATCCTCATCAAGGTCCTTCCAGCCGCCTTTTCAGCCAGCCAGGATCATGGGCGTGTAGTGTGTAAGGTCAGCCCAGGAGCCAAACCCCGATTTTCCAGTTGGATCCAGCATCGCAGAGCGGTGCACCACTACTGTGCAGTTGTGGCAGGGCCTCTGAAATGTTTCTATTAAGCTTGCAACTTACCGAATGTCAAATACTGTCTTAGAAATATTTACAAGATTTTGGGGCCAGCAGATGGTGTGGTGGTGGGGGCACTGGACTGCCACATGGCCAACCATGGTTTGAGTCCCGAACCTGGAGGCTTGCGTTCTCATTCTCCCTTGATCTCTCTCTCTGTCAAATTGAAGAATAACAATAAAATAAGTAAAATTAAATAAATAATTAAAAAAAGAAATAATTTCATGATTTTGTATTGTAATGTTTTTGACAGTTATGGTAATATTTTTATTTGGAGAAGATGTTAAGCACGTCAGAAAATGTGCTCCTGTGTTTAAGCATAGATGAAGAACTGTTATGACCACAGTGGAAACATTTCCAAGTGCCTCCTTCAAACACTATTCCAGTGTCATAAACAGTAGTTACATTTTTTGGTTATTAAAATGTTACCTTGGGACCAGCAGTTAGCGTAATGGCTATGTCGCTGGACTCCCACTTAGTCGACTGCAGTTCAAGTCCTGGACCCGGTGGCTTAAATTCCTGCCGGGTGCGTGTGCGTGCGTGCCCAAGATCCCGAGAGGAGAATGAAGGAGAAGGGATTGCGGCGTGGCCATCCCCCCGGGGGGTGATTTCTCACTTTCTGTCTCTCTGTCTCTCTCTGTCTGTCTGGCGAGTGCACATGCCCTATAGCAAAATCCTCTCCAAGAAAAAAAAGTTACCTTCGCCCTTACCATTCAGTGTCTGGCCTGTTTCTCGTTCTGATGAGACTGCAGTCATCTTTCACTCCCTGACAGGTTGCCAGCAGGCTTGTAATGAGGAGGAGGAGTAGCAGCCTGCCATTTCCTCTTCACCTGCACTTAAAATAATATCCTCATATTAATCATAATATCTAGGGACTGGTGAGTCTTGTGGTTAAGGGCGCTAGACTCCTACGTGGCCAACCACAGTTTGAGTCCCAGACCTGATGGCTTGCTTTCTCACTTTCACCCTCTCTCTATCTCTGTGGTCAAATTTAAAAATAATAATGACAAATAAACTTGAATAAAATAATTTAAAATAATAATACCTGTTTCTCTGTGGGAGTCATTTGGAGCAGCCTGTCCGTTTTGTGAGGGCTGACTTAAAACAGGATGGCATGATCTGTAGATCCTTAGGGGCAGCCACTCACAGACTGTAGGATGTCACATTACATGATGGGACCAGTGGTCCCTGTCAGGGGTGCCCTGCGGGGACTCCCCCTCTATTTTTTTAAATGAATTATTTTATTTAACTTTATTAATTTTTTAAAATTTTAATTTGACTAGAGAGGGACAGAGCAAAAAAGAGAGACCGGGAGGTGGGGGAGGAGTGAGAAAGCAAGCTGCCGGGTCAGGGTCCCAAGCTGCCATCAGCCGTGTGGGAGTCCAGTGCCCTTAGCCACCATGCCACCTGCTAGCCCCTCCCCTTCTTTTTTAAGGCTGTGGCTCTTACATCTGAGGCCTGCTGTCATGGAGCCGAATAAAGGCCCAGGGTCAGTCTGTATAGTAAATGTTTAAAATTAAAAATGAATTTTTAGGGAACCAGCAGTTAGCGTAATGGCTATGTCGCTGGACTCCCACGTAGTCGACCGC